TTCTTTACCTTCCAGTGGCATCATTCCTTGAGCTAATGTAACTTTTCACCAGTTTGGGCCCCAAGTGGCCTTTGGCTCTTTGCAAGATGCAAATCCAATCTACCCTTGAAAGATTTGCCACCATTCAACCAGTCTGACTGGAGGTTTTCCCACCATTCCGGTGGCTCACAAAGTGTTTTAGCAGTGGAACCATTTTTATTTCTGGTGGTCTCTTTTAGAGAAGATGCCAATGTGTAAGGCAGATAAAAGTAGAGTCTGTGTTTGAAGCATAAATTAAGGCATGACCCCCATCCATTCTTCTTAACTTCCCTCCTTGTTCTCCTCCTTGGCCTAGAATGGTACCACCAAGGAAGCTTCAAGTTCCATGGGACCCGGTTTGAAAACCACTGCCCTCACCCAGGCTGCCCAGTGATGGGTGGGGCAGTGTCAGAGCCCCTTGCCCTCTCACTGGTTGGGGGTGAGCAACTCCTGTCCATGAACTGAAGGAATATATTTGTGTCTCCTTCAAGTTCTCACCAGCTGCAGGGTAGGTGAACATGACTCTTGGATGAACACTGCTTGTTAAAGGCCTTGGGGTCTTTAATCCACCACTCATATTTGTAGAAGAGCCGTAAGAGGTTTGCAGAATGCTTTAAGGAGGAAAGAAGAAGCAGCTTGGCAGCTATAAATAGAAAGGCTAGTTTTGAGGTCAAGAATGGTGGAAGAGGAGACAAAAAAATTCAGGATTGCAATGGAATGAGGAAAAGCATCACAAAGATGTTAAGAAAAAGCGTGAAGAGTGGGGATTTCCAGCAGAAAGTGAAAAGCACAATGCATCTGAATCCCCGGCTGAATGTTGGATGTCAGCTGCGTTCTCTGATGTGTCCAGCCTCCCACTGCAGTTAGGGGCACGCAAAACCAGGAGGGATACCTCCTCCGCGTCAGGTCCTGGGGCTACCAGCGAGGATCCCTCTCTTAACGAGCTCACTGCCAAGTAGGGGACTTACTCAAAAACTCTGAATCCACGAGGACATCTGGAAAAGCAGTAAGGGAGATAAAATTGGAGAAGTTACGGGAGATCAGAGGAGGAGCTTCTGTGAAAATACCTGAGCCAGAGTGAGGTTCCTCTAATGCATGATGTTCTTTTCAATCCTTCAGTGTGAACTTTGGGTGAAACTTTAGATTCTTCAAATTGTATCTTATCAAACTTATTTGGACTCCTTTATCCTAACTTTGCTCTTCTCAAAAAAAAAAAAAAAGAAGAAGAAGAAGAAGGAGTAGGAGGAGAAGAAATAATTGTCTGTTTCTACCCTCAGAGGAGGTATAAAGTCATAACTGTGTTTTTTTCCAGCATGAGTCAGTTGGACCCTTGCTTTAAGTCGTGATTGCATGTGGCTCAGGAATTTTTCTGTTCTCCTGTCTGAACTTCAGTGGAGCATAGCAAGGCCTTCCCATTTTTGCTTAATTGCTTTCAAGTTGCTTTCCCTTAAAAGTATTGTCTAGGGGCACCTGGGTGGCGCAGTCGGTTGAGCGTCTGACTTCAGCCAGGTCACGATCTCGTGGTCCGTGAGTTCGAGCCCCGCGTCGGGCTCTGGGCTGATGGCTCTGGGCTGATGGCTTGGAGCCTGGAGCCTGTTTCCGATTCTGTGTCTCCCTCTCTCTCTGCCCCTCCCCTGTTCATGCTCTGTCTCTCTCTGTCCCAAAAATAAATAAATGTTGAAAAAAAAAATTAAAAAAAAAAAAGTATTGTCTAGTACCTCAAACCTCCAATTTTTTGGAGGTCAAAAAATCTCTGACCGTCAAGGGGGAAAACAAAAAGACCTCAATTAGTTTGGAGGACCCCAGCCAATTACCAATGATCTGGGAGAAGACTTAGTTACCATATGAATATAATAAAACCAAGGGGGAGTATGAAGGGTTGTTGGATCTCATCCTGTGATTTACTCATTTTCCTGGTAGCCCAATACTGTGAAACAGGTTCCAAACCAAGCTCCTGTTTCTTTTGTGAACAAGCCCCTTTACAGGCGGAGTTTGCAACAACTTCTAACATAGGCCAGCAGTGGGCAGCACCTTCACTCTTGGCTTTGGACTTGAAACAATGCTGCGTTTCGTTCTCTATTTCCAGGGCCTAGGACAGTGACTTACGCGTATTGTGTGTGTGGGACTGAACCGGTTATGACAAAGGCAGAGAAGGGGAAAGGTGAAGGTATGTTTGTGGACACGAAAAATAGCTGACACTTGGTAAGCATTTACTGAGAGCCAGTTCCATGCTAAGTACTTTGCTTTCTTCTCTTTTGACCTTCAGCAGACCTCCAGGAGGTAGAACTATTAGTATCCATTTCACAGTCGGGAAACAGATCACATAAGCGATGTCTTCGTTTGTGAGGACCACCATAAAAGAAACCACAGACTGGGTCACTTAACACAAATTTATTTCTCCTAGTTCTGAAGATTGGGAAGTCCACGATCAAGGTGCCAGCAGGGTGGATTTTATTCTTTTCCTTTTGGCTTGTAGACGGTGACCATCTTGATTTGTGTTCCCATGATTTCTTCTTTGTGCATGCTCACTGGGGAGGGAGAGAGGTCTGGTGTCTCTTCTTGACAGGACACCATCCTCTAGTATCAGGGCCCCCCTTTGGGACTATATTTAATTTTACTTTCTTAGAAGCCCCCTCTGTAAACAGCCACGTTGGGGTTAGGGCCTCAGTATACAAATTTTGGGTGAGAGGGACACAAACATTCAGTCCATAATAAGTAACCAGCTCAAGTTTACACGACTAAGAAGCATCTGGAACAGAAACTTGAACCCCTTTACCCCGAAACCCATGCTTTCCACTGTGAGGCATCGTTTCCATGATGGGTGGAGTTACAGCCTAGTGTGTGTGGAGGGAAAGGACTCTGATGTTGGAGATGATAATGATGAGGTAGTCTGGAACCCTAAAAATGGAGTCTCTTGCCACACCATCTGCATCTTGCCTGCTCCCCCCCCCCATACTGAAAACCTTGCAGTTCTCTGAGGCTTCTCTGCTCCTTGACCTGCTGAGTACGGCGCTTTGCTCTGTGTTACTGTAGTAGCCCTGAACCTCACCTGCACATTAGAACCATCTGGGAGGGGCGCATGGATGGCTTAGTTAAGCGTCCAACTCTTGATTTCAGCTCAGGGCATGATTTCACAGTATGAGCCCCGTATCGGGCCCTGTGCTGACAGTGCAGAACCTGCTTGGGATTTGCTCTCTCCCTCTTCCTCTGTCCCTGCTTGCACATGTGTGCTCTGTTTCTCTCAAAGTAAATAAACTAAAAAAAAAAAAAAAAAATCACCTGGAAAACTTGAGGAAAATCAAGAGTCAGAGCCGAAGTACAGGGCTCCCTTGAGCCTCAAACAAATCATGATAATGACAGATAATAACGTGAACAAAATAGAATAGTATGAGTTCATACTGATAAATTACCTAATGAATGGATTGAAAGTTTGATTATAAACAGGATACTTATATAATTTCAAAGCACCTCTCCAAACAGGACTGATCAAATAGAGGAACATGAGTGAATTTACAGTAGAGAATCTGCCAGTCACCACCTTAATCAAGTGACCAAAGTGAACATCATCGGTATTGGGACAAATAGAGACCAGGTGCCGTTTCACAGGTGGCAATGAGAAGGCACCAGGCACTGCCGTGATAGCCCTATCAGGGAGGTGTAACCTGAATCCCATCATGAGGAAACATCAGACCAACCAAACCTGAGCAGCATTTCCACAATCTTCAAAAGTGTCAACATCATGAAAGCTAAGGAAACAATGAGGAACTTTCCAGGATCATGGCAACTAAAGAGAGAGAGAGTGGAAGGTGACGTGTAATTATGAATTCCGGAGGCTTTTACTATAAAAAAAAGAAAATTAGCATTTGCCAGAACTTGATCATAACATATCAGTGTGGATTTCCTGATGTTAATGGTCACATGGCAATTATGTTGGAGAAGGTTCTCATTTGGAAGAAAATACTCACTGCAAAGAAGGGAGTAATTGGACACCAAATCAAATTACTTCCAAATGGTGCAATTAAAAAAAAGTTACTTATACTGTAATTTTTCTGTAAGTTTGAAATTCTTAAAATGCAAACACACAAAATCCCTGATGTCCAGTTTGCATACCAAACCAATTAAAACAGAATCTCCAGGGAGGAGACCCAGGGTTCGGTTGCTTTTGAAATTCCCAGGTGAATCCATTGTGAGCCTGAGCTGAGATGCTCAAAATATAGTCCCAGAACCAGTGGAGTGAGAATCAGTGGGGTATGTGTTAGCACAGATTGTCTGGCCCTACTCCAGACCTCTTGAATCAGAAAATCTGAGGGCAGGGCCCAGAAATCTGTATTTTAACAAGCCCATCCAGCTAGTTTTGGTTCATGCTTTAGGACCATTCACCTGGAACCTTCCTCATTCTTCGGTCCGTATTTGCTCCCAATTATCATTCCAGAGTCAGTTCAGACCCTCTTCAGATACCATTTCTGGGGCTATCTCACTATCTTAGTGTAGCCTCAGGGTTTAGAAATGATCTGTTTACACGCTGGTCACCGCCACTAGAGCTGGTCCAAGCGCTGTTTACCCAGTCCGTGGCACAGAGTGGACACCAGTGCATGCCTGTTTAATTGATGCTTAGCAGATGATTGGAGGGACATTCAGTGGTGTCCCCTGTGTCACATTTGCTTCCATTTGCATGCCCTTTGGAGACACGCAGTGATGTGTCTAACGTTGTTCTGTGATGGGAATTGGATAAGGGGGCTCCGTGGAGGCAGGGAAGATGACAAGCATTTGAAACCACATTCAGAAGCACCCCACCCTTAGGGGAGCTGGTTCCGAAGCCTTTTACTAAAAGGTGCCTGCGAACTGCTGGGCTCTCTAATTAAACCAGATGGACTGGATGATAGCTGATTAGATTCCTGACGTACTGATCCTCCTTCTATTTACTCACATAAATTCGTTGATGAGCCAGAAACCATCTCATTCAGGAAAAGCACCTCGCTGAATATTTTTAGAAAATTAAACTTTTATGGATGACCCAGTCTGTGAGCAGCTAAAATGCCAAAGTCTGTTTCCTATGGCACTCAGATGGTTGAGCTTTCAGCAGGGGAACCGTGAACAAGTTTGCTTCTGCAAATGTATGCCAAAACAACAACAACAACAAATTACAGGCCCATCAGTCATTTTGGATGCAGAGAGCAGCACGTCACAGTGATCGACACAACCAGGGACTCGGGCACTTCTTCACTGGAGCTGCCTCTCACTCCTCTAGTTCCATTTGGTGGCGTCACATTTGTTGATGCTGACTCCCGAGGCACTCGGCTGTCTTGATTGGTAAGATTTCAGAGTGGGGATGATGAACTAGAGGCTGAAAGGAACACACAGTGCATTAAGACATTCATTGACAAACACATACCTATAAATCCACCTACATCTGTCCGTGCATAAATACATATGCATATGCGTATCGATAATTATGTCACACTCTTTGAAAAAAATACTGATTAGAATCCATATCTACGCCCTGTAGAAGATTGGTAGGTGGCCCAGATTGGGCCTCAGGAAAATTGTTTTGTGAACTGCATTGCTTTAGGACTCTTCCAAGACCGTTCTGCTGAGATGACAGAAGAGTGAGTAGAATATTCTAAAGGTATGGCATGGGAGGCATGGCCCTGAAGAAACATCCTTGCACTCGAGAGAGGACAAATCTCAGTCCCAAGTAAGTGCTCACACTGGGTTTGACCCGTGAAAATTGGTGCTGGTCTGGACTGACTTCCTCAGCTGAACCTGTATAATCAGAATTCTGTTCAATCACACGCAAAGAGTATTTTTGACTGCCTGATGGATTGCTAGCGGGTGTTTACTTCAATGGCTGATGCAACATATTTAGAACATATCAGGTTTACTGAAAATATAGAAGCATTCCCTCTTAGAGTCAGAGCCAAGATCAGATTGTTCTCTAAAGGCATGGCAGGTCTCTGGAAGGTCAGAGGGAAATAATCCCAATGTGTAACTTTCTGCTCATTTATTCACTCAGCTAGTTATTTAATACATTTCTACCTGTGCCAGATATTATTCTGAGAGTGAACAGTGGTTGGTAAGACAGACACAATCTCTTCTTTTATGGAACTTACAATGTGTATGTGTTAACCAACCATTAAATTTGGTGAAAATAGAAATGAACAGCATTGGTAGAACTTGCAAACTAGCTGGGAGGTAAGACTCATCTTCCAGAAAGCCATCTCTGTAGAATATTGTGAAGGACTAATTGTATACTCTCAAAAATCCGTGTGTTGAAATCCTCATCCCCAGCCATCTGAGTGAGACCTTATCTGCAGACAGGCTCTTTCAAGAGGTAATGAAGTTAAAATGAGGTGATTAAAATACACTCTAATCCAACATGACTAGTGTCCTTATAAGAAGAAAAAAATTGGATAAGATAACATATAGAGGGAAGATAAATTGAGTACACAGGGAGAAGATGGCCATCTCTAGGCCAAGGAGAGAGGCCCATAACAGGTCCTTACTTCACGGTCCTCAACTTTGCAGACTACTTCATGTCAGGCATCTAGCCTCCAGAGATGTGAGACATGACATTTCTGTGATTGAAGCCACCCAGTCTGCAGTACATTGTCACATCTGTCCTAACAAATGAGTGCAAATATATTACATGCTAAAATGTGGACAGGGACTGGACTGGCTTGATTGGGTAGGGACAGGGTGAAATCAGTTACACTGTTTGAGTAGCGAGGAAGGATGGCTTAATTAGTGTTCCAGGGAGGAAAACAAAAAAGAAAAGAAACCGGTGCTTGGTGGAAAAAAACAAAACAAAACAAAACGGTTCCTGCAAACTGAGAAATCAAGATGCAAGTCTCTTTGCATCCTAAGAGCTTCATCAGTGTGAAAGAGGCTTCTGCCCTCTCCAGAGAACGCATTCCCCTTGACGTCACCACGGAGGATATTGAATTGTTTTGTTTTTCAGCAAAGCACAATGGCTTCAGGTTGGGCTCCTCCCTTCTTTTGCTCGGATATGTTAAGCTCTTCCATTTTAAGACTCTGTTTGTTCCTTATAATGTAGCCTAGACATTTCCTTCAGGCTGGGATTTAGAGATGAAGCCCAGGAAGGCCAGAAGTCCTCACCAATGCTGTGTTTGTATTGTGCCCTGACCATCAGTGGCCCTGGGGACATCAGGACACATACTAGGCAGTGAGAGAAGCAATAGAATTGAGGACAGGTTGATGCTTTCCCATTGCCGTCCCATTGTTGATAAGCTCAGGGACGATTGGGAGGAAGGTTGGGGCGTGAGCTCAAAGAGGTGAAGTCAGACACTATCAACACTTGTGTGTGAGGCGATGCAGTGCTGGTACTCAGGAGGCATAGAAACTGCTGTAGTAGGTGAGGTGCCTGCATCGATCCTGTTAGCCTGGAGAGCTATCTTCATGGAGGGCTCTAACACACTGTTGTGCAAGGGGCTGATGGATGGCCTTGAGTGCTAGTTGGAAGTCCATTGTCCATCACCACATAATGCCTTCGCTCCTGTTCCCTTAGTCTCTTGAACCTCCTTCCCACTGCTTTCCAGAAAGACTTGACTAAAGGGAGGAGCAGTTGCTCCAGCCTCTGAGAGGGATCCATGCTGGGAGGAGTAAAGGGGCCTGTCCCCACTTACTCTTGTGTTACATTTGCTCATCACTTCTCTGTCTCCCCCAAGATGGAAAACACTCAGTGACAGGGATCATCCTGTAATGTTCTCTGTATCCTTAGAACCCGGTCTCTGCTTGGTTCATAGTTGGCACTCAGTAAATGTTGGCTCCAGGGAGAAAGGGAGGAAAAAATGCTTTATTATTGGTCTGAGCAACACCCTTTGTGGTATAACGTGGCATAATTCAGTATAATTTGTGTAATTTAAGGCTCCCAAGAATCTCAAGTAGGACCTCTCCCTGCCCACCACCCCCGATAACTGCTTCACCAAGGTGACTCAGGTGTGCTTCTAAAGCCAGTCCTCCCAGCGGCCACTCAAAGGCCACCAACCTCCACAGTGCCTGGAGACGGAGACCAGCGGTTCTCCCCTACTTTCTCCTGATCCTTAGGGCGTTCGCCTGGCAAACTACTCAGGCCACTGTATTCTCCACCAACAGGACTCTGCACCCCAAGTCCTGCTGGCTGCCCTTACCTCAACTGGCCACAAGGCAGCACTGCCTGCCTTAGGCTATCCGGGCCCCATGAGTTTTTACTAGCACTTTTATTCTACTTTTGGGACCTAGGTATGAGGCCACAGGAAAAGGGACTGAATAAAAGTGCAGAAAGACTGTTCCCTCTGACCCTGACCCTGGTTCTTAATACTGTGACTGTTGAGGCTCATTTCCTCTGGTTGGGGGCTCTCCCAGGAAGCTCCCCAGAGCCTCCTGCAATGGGAAAACCTCCTCATCCCACCCTCCGCCAGCCGAACCTGAATCCTAGGGTGAGTTCCAGTTAGGCTTCCTACGCTGCTAGCTCAAGGGTATCCTCCTTGGCTGGAGGCCACACCTCAACCGATCCAGATGGGCGTATTCATGTCTTAGTTACCAAAAATAATCCATGTAGCTCCAAAAAGGCTTTAGCAGAGCATGACAGCCATGCAGGGGTAGGAGTCAGAGGTACTTCTGTTTCAAACCAGACTGTACCAGTTGCTATGTGTGTGACTGTGAACAAGTTACTCAGACTTTATGGGCTATGTTAAATGGGATAATTCCTATCTCACGAGACTTTAGAAGGTTTACATGAGTGGAAATAGGAAATGAGGGTAGGGCGTTGCCGGAAGATAGTAGGTACTAGATCTATCTTTCTTTTCTTCTCCTCCTGTTCCCTTAAGTTAGAGTGTAAGGAATAACTTGATACAGATCTTTGACTTTAAACCACCCACTGGTGACCTCCCCTTGAATATCCTAGCGGGAGAGCCCCATCAAGGAATCCCCATCCCTGCCGTTGGAATGCATAAGTATCTGAGCTGCTTCATACTAACCAGGGCTGAAATCCACAACTGCCCACTGAGCCTCTCGGGATGTGCTTGCAGAGCTAACTGGGCCATTCCTGCTGAGTTCTGTAGCATTCGGTAGAACTCTTTTAAGATGCTCAGAAAGGGTTTCCCATGAAGCTGACGGAGGTACCACAGGTGAAGTGAGCTGAGCAGGGAGCAGAGGAATGGAAGGGAAACCTCGCAAGTGAGTACAACCTCCTGGCCAGGAGGCTGCTAACCAGAGGATGCCAAGTTCCTTTCCAGCACCACCCAGAGGTGGTTCGTTGCTCTAGGTCTAAGGGAAATTAACATAAACCTCTTTAGATTTCTTCCAACTTGGCAGTTTTCAGCCATTTGCTCCCACTGCCCACTTCCTCCGCTCAGCATTACCGCTGTTCCTGTGTGAGATCTCTGCATAGTGGACAGTGCCTGTGACCCATGTCCCCTGCTTGCATTGTGATGAACAGAGGCGCTTCTACACCATCACCACCCACATGAGACACACTTACTCAGGCTTCTGACTTCGTGCCTTAGGGTACAAAAGCCCAGACCAGAATGAGAACTGCTCTCCCCTATTAGCTGTTCAACTTGGGGGCAAGCCATTTACCCTCGGAAAGCTTCAGTGTCTTCTGAGCGTAAACTGAGATCGTTATATCTTCCTCACAAGTGTGAGTAAATGAGATGGTAGATGGTTTGGTCACTGTTTATAGGTGTCCTGGCAGTAGGAAGCGTGGCAGGTGTGAGAGGCATTCACTCGTACCAGGAATGCTCTCCCCACCTTTTAAGACCCTCTCTGTTCTTCATGCCTGTGGATGGCATCGTCTCCATATTGTTTTCACCATCTCCTGCAACCGTCTAATTCCCTTTGAATGCCTGTCACACCTACCTTCTGCCATTTCTTGGCCTCTTGTTGCCAGTTCTTCTGAGCAACTCTTCCGTTTTCCCGGTTTGACTGTAGGCCCTTTCAGTCGAGGGCCTTTCGAGACTAAAATCACCCTTTCTAGTGAGTGTTTCAGTAATGGCTCACGGGAGCTGTGAATATCATTGCATGTCAACACCCGTGTTTGGGCAGGTGGACATGCTCAGGTTGGCAAGTGTTCATGTCCTGGTATCTGAGGCAGTGTACTAGTGTGCTGAGGACAGCTCAGAAATGGCCAAGATAAAATGGAAGAGGGAGAAATGCTACAGCGCCAAATAGAACTCTTAGGGCCACGTCCAGGGACTATACTCAGAAAAGGCCAGCTTTGAGCTGTGTGTTCCCTCTGGGACCAGGTGATTACAGTTTAGGATGGATTGGGGAATTTCCATGCTGCTGGAAACACCATATGAGAACCTTCCTAGTATTTGGGTTCAACAGCAAATGCTGAGACAGAAAAAATATTTCCATCCATCTGCACTAATCTCTTATTTCCCTAGCAGTTAGAAAGAGAGAGAGGGGACGAAAAAAATAAATTAAAGGCTGCATCAGAAAAAAAGCTCAAGAGCCAGGCTTACGCTCAGCCCGCTGCCAGGTCATTTTCTAGTCGGTACAGGAAATGCCAAACTTCTGCGGCTATTGGGTGGAGGTGCTGGGAATATAATCATTTGAACTGTGATAATTGAAGGCATTAAAGAAGAAAGCCCAACTGAAAAACTTCCAGAAAGGCAAAGGCACTCAGAATTCAAATCAGGCTGCTCGCATCCTCCAGTTTCTAGGAAGAAAGCTGCACTTCGTCAGGACCAGGTCTCCTTTCCGTGTCCCGAGACGATCCACCCACCTGCAGCCGGTGCTCCGTGCCAAGCAAAACCCAAACCCCGGCACCTTGCTACTTACTTATGTGCAGACCTTCCATGTATGTATATGTAAATCCATCCGCGTGGTGGCCGTATCAGTTACTGCTTTTAGGCTGGGACCCCAGGGAACATACACTTGATGAGGGCTTTGCACTTACCTTCAGTTATACAATCTGTGTCTTGTTACACTGCCCGTCAACTTAGCATGTGCTTGTGGTCGGCTTGCGCTGGCGGTTCTCGGTGCTCCTGGAGCCAGGCCAGGCTGACAACATCTATCTGTGGATTTAACCATTAAAGCCGTAACGGCTTCTTCCCCCTCCTCCCTCCTCCTTGCTTTGGCCCAGTCATAGCCAGAGACGTCTCTCAAAGGGAAGAGGCTTGTGCCCATATATATCCTAGGCCAGATCGAAAGTAGCGGCTCAGACCTTTCACGTGGGCACAAATGTGGTTGCTTCGTACGATCAGTATTCAACTTTTAAGTCTCTGTCATGTCCATAATTGGATGGTAAACATTTTCCTCTTGGTAACTTCTATTTCTTTTCTTGTGGATCTTGGCTTTCAGGACCAGGTATGTTTGTATGGCAGCTATGGGAAGGTTGAAAAGGGTCCAGTACCTTCGTAAGGCCTCAGAGAACTCATCTGTGAACAGGTTTCTGTTCGGTGGCTTGTGCCGTGCATGTACTACTATGCTGGACATTGTAGTAATTTTTGATCCCTGACTTGAGGAGGCTCACCGTTGGATCAGAGGCCATACACAAACTGGAATTAAAATAAAAACTTAAAAAAAAAAAAAATGAAACGAGCCTAAGATTGTATGCTAACTTACTGGAAGAAAAACTTTAAAAAAATTAATGGAAGCCATAGACACCAACATCAGCATGACATAGCCCAGGGCTTAGAAGGTGAGTGAGAGAGGGTAGCAAAGAGGGAAAAGGTGGTGGTGGGGTGGGGGGACTAAGAACGCGGAAAAAGTGTTCTCTGAAGGATGTGACATTGGCACTTGACCTTGATGTGGTCACATGTTAGAGAGGATGACACGGTAAATAAAGCTTATAGAAACTGATAGTTATGAGAGAAGACTGACGAGAGATGGCATGTTCTTAAATCCCAGCTCTGCTTCCTATCCCTGTGACCTTAAGTTACTTAGCCTCTTTCTTCCTCAGTTTCCCTACTTGTAAAATGATAATAATAGTGCCTGTCTTGAAGATTCCCCAAAATACCACCTAGAAAGCACGTGGCTAAAATGTGGTGATGGTGGCTGGTGATACAAAGCTCATGGGAAAGCCAAGAACAGAACTGGTCGAATGGGAAGGGCATATTGTAACCTGGTGAAAATGTGTTGCCAGGGAAAACTAGTGTGGCATTGGTTCATCTTTCCTGGTCATTTGAACCTGCAGTCGCCGGCCCCCTTATTAGATCCGATGGGCAGACATCTAATCGGCCATCTCAGTGGGCCAAAGCATCAGTTGGACAACTTTTGGAGCGGGTGTTTTATTTTGAATCAGATGGAAAATGTGTGACCTCAGTTAGTGATAAAGTGCCAACTAGGAAACTCCAGCACCTACTTCTTATCAAGGTCGGCCAGCGTTGTGGCTGCTTTGGAAAGACAGAGGAGGAAACAACTGGTGTATTTGCTTCTGGCGGCTGTCTTGGTCACAGGGATTTCATAAGACCCAACATGTTTGTCAAATGCATCAGCCATACGCTGATGATTTTATGATAAAGTGTAAAAAAAAAAAACCAAAAAAAAAAAACCAACTTTAACTTGTCTCTATGGAATCCTGTAATTTTGGAGTGGGAAGGGGCCTCAAAAAACTAGTCTTTGTAGCAGTGAAAGAAATAGGAAGCCAGATGTCTCCATAACCTGGGAAGAAGTGTCCAGAATCTCAGATCCTAGTTTCAGAAAATGTCTTCCTCATTCCACAGAAAGTCTTATTTCCATTTGCTTTGAGGACTTTTTTTTTTTCAACGTTTATTTATTTTTGCGACAGAGAGAGATAGAGCATGAACGGGGGAGGGGCAGAGAGAGAGGGAGACACAGAATCGGAAACAGGCCCCAGGCTCTGAGCCATCAGCCCAGAGCCTGACGCGGGGCTCGAACTCATGGACCACAAGATCGTGACCTGGCTGAAGTCGGATGCTTAACCGACTGCGCCACCCAGGCGCCCCTGCTTTGAGGACTTTTAAGGAAAACTTTTACAGTCCTCATTGGCTGCAGGAAAGGCTGCAGGAGAGGGCAGCCTCTCCTATGGTGAGCCCCACAAACCCCATTTCCAAACCCAGCAATGAGCAATGATGAGGTCTTAAGTGTTGGATGAGAGAGGAATTGAGAAAGATGTTCCTAGATGTGTCTTTACCATACACATACATGGCAAAAGGGAACCCTCCTTCTGAGGATCATGGAATCCAGCAGCAGAAGGAAACTTCAGGATCATCGAGTATTTTTAAAAGTGTGTTCTACCAGTTTCCGAAGATGTTTCAAGGTGTTACGTGTCACAGTCTACTAAATTTGGAAATGATTACTTGAGCGACAATAATGGGTCTGTTTGCCACAGGAATTTCAGAGTCTCTAATATGCTACCATTAGCATTGTGACTCTCCAAGAAAGGGATATAAGCATGAGCCCAATTTATGGGGTTTTTTTGTTGTTGTTGCTTTTGTGTTGTTTTTTTATTTTTGTGAAGAACTCTTTCATGTTATGGCTCCTGGCAGTATTTCTTAGTATTTGTGTTCTGTAGAGCTTCAGACCCTCTGATTTTGTCTACTGCCTAAGTTTACCTATGAGGATATTGGCACAAAGTCATTATCAAATTCCTGATTGAACTAGGATTCAAGCCCAGGTCTCTTGAGCCTCCTTCAGAGTTGCAGAACTCAAAGTAGGCAGATGAAGCTGCCCACTTTATCTGCAGTTATCTGAATGTTTCAGGAAAACCATGGTTTTAAAAACACTTACCTTGACCTCTTTGGATCTATATTTCCATTTGTCACTCTACCTGTCATACAGAGGCAAGTGGTCACAGAATATCTAATACAGTCCTCTGTCCAATAGACCGAAAAAAAAAAAAAGAGAAAAGGATCACTTAATTTCTATTCCTTCTTCACAAAAGTGCCCAATAAGATTGGCTCTGTTATAGAGGCTGGTAATCCTGGTTTTGAAGTTTCCACAGTCCTCCACATAATTAGCCTTGGAATGCGTTCATAACGATCTATTAGCAGGTAGAGTTTTAATGGGTGTGCCACTTTGCAGACATGAGCAGTGTCCGAAGGGTTTTGGTACTCTGGTTTGTTGGGAGAGATTCCAGCTCACATGGCTCAGAATGGTCAGCGTCCTTGCTTCTCTGTCATATGTTGCCAGCCACCCAAGAATGTGCCTGAGCCAAGTTGCTCTGCAAAGCTGTTGAATGGACAACTGGGATGGTGTCCTCTTGTAACCAACAATCAGGAGGCCCCTTCGGGCATAGTACATTTTCCAAGTAATTCATTTGGTGGACGTAAGCTGAGTTCGATTTTCTTAATGACAGCAATGGCCACCATTATTGCTTAGCTGTGAGTTCCCATGCTAGGCATTTAACATATGTTTTATCTCATTTATTCCTCATGACAGCCATTGCCAAGTCCTAGTTACCTGACCTCGAATAAGACAATGTAATCCCTTTGTGCTTGAGTTTCCTCAGGGGGGTTGGGAAGATTGAGTACAGAGAGGTAGGATTAAAAGAGCATCTATCTCATGTTCGCACATAGTAGGCACTTAATAAATAGTCATTTATTGGGGCAGAATTTATATTGTATAGGATATTATAAGATCCCATTTTCCTCCTTCCCTACCTCTAGCCAAGGCAGTTAGGCCATAGTAATATTGTAGATAGTCATAAGTTTGGGTAAAGAGGCAGCAGACCACATTAGTCTGCTAAATCCGGAATGGCTCTTTTTATCAGGATGAAATGGAATTTGATTGTCCATACATGCAAAGGCTCAGGTAATTTGAGTCTGATGTTTAATCCAGTATGAACATCCTTTGTATGAAATCACTGCCATCACCACTTTAAGAAAGTTAATATTTATACCAAACATCTTCTGTAATGAGATAGGAACTTTTGACCACCCAGAAATCTAGCTCAGATTTTAGATTTGCATGCTCCCATAGTCAGGTTTCGGAATGATTTCTTTATCCAATTGGAGAAATAAAGTACATGCACTATTTCAAAGGAGACATTGAATCAAAGCAGATCACTCATTATCCCCTTCTCAAAGTATTCTGGTTGCGGAAAATAAAAGAGGGCTCTGAAATCAAACATATCACGTAGATACTTTTGAATATTTATTATGTTTATAAAGCTCCTTATAAGACAAACCATGAAAGGCAGGTGACCTGATGGGATGATATTGTGAGACCAAGTATTTACATTTGAGAGGAACGTGTAGCAGTTTCCTGGGGTAAATGGGTAATTCTTCAGAGTAGTCTCTGTCCCTGTTGGTGCTTCTCCTTTTTCTATCACCCTCCCCTTTGCTCCCATCTAATTATATCTTACCATTGAAGACCAAGATGAAGTGGCATCTCTCTAGGAACCCTTCTCTGGCCTCCAGGTGGACTTTGTCCATTTTCACGTTGAGCCCTTTGCCTACCTGTATCTCAACCATGAGCGCCTTCTTCTGGAATCATTAGTGTGTGAATCTGTCTATTCTGCCGAACCGCAGCTCTCTGCAGGGCCTGAGCAAAGTGGCCCTTGTGTCTTTGTTTACCAGGCACAATAACTCGGGTTATCAATAAGTGGGTCATCAGTAAGTGTCTCTTTAAAGAAACAACAAATCCTGGACGGTGGGCTCCACCATTGCATTGCTGGGAAAAAGAGCCAAGGGGTTAAATGGTGTCAGGGAATGGATGGAACCGTTTCTAAAAAGACCTCTTGGATTTACTAGTTCTTTCATGCTGGAAGAAAGATGGTAGGCACAGTGGAGTCCTCACCTGCCTTTCCTGGCAAAGTTCCTAACCGTGGGTGTTGAGAGGATGTTAGTCTTCTCTCCAAAAGGATCGTAGGCTGTGTTCACATTTTTTAAGTGCTCGTGTAGCCCCCACGGTATCTATTTCAGTAATAGGCACATTGTAATAATACCTGACTTGAATTCATATCATAGTATAGTCAGTCATTTATCATTGTGCGTGTCTGTCTCCCCTGCGATCCTAACTCACTTTTGAATCACCACTCTTTAGTGCAGTGGCTGGCACTTGGCAAGGATGCTGCTAACAATCTATGAATGAATGGGTGGATGGAATGCATGAAAAATACATGAAGCCGTTTGTATCATACCTTATAGACTTTATGGTACCTTCTCTGCAGATCTCACTTGATTTAATCGGCACAGCAATACTATAGGGCTGATGTGACTAGGGTTATTAGCCCACCTTCTAGATACAGAAATTGACCATCAGAAAGTTTAGATAACTTGTTCATGACCTCATATCTGATCAAGAATGGGACTTAGGCTCAGGACTTCCAGTGTTTGAGTCATAGATTCATGGCTCTCATAGTTCCCTCTACAATTTCTGATAGACTGGCTATATATTTGGTGGTTGAAGAGATGATGGGACTTGATAAGCTATTTTCCCAGGATAGGAGGAGTAATTGTAATAACAACGGCAGTTACTATTTATTGAATCCTTACATTGGGTATGTTGTAAATGCCAAGCACTTTACCCAAGTCATCCTAACACACTCCAAGGTAGCTACTATTGTTAATTTTGTTTCCCACAGGAGACTGAAATATGGGATGTTTACATAACATGTGCCTGGTCACAGAGCTGGTTCATAGTAGAGGCAAGATTTGAACCTAGACAGTTGG